CTTACCGCATTAGGTGTAGACCAAATCCTTCCCCTAACAGAAGCTTCTTCCAGCTTTAGTGTAGGTGCTGGAATCTGTGGCAATGGCTTGTAGAAGCAGCCAGGAAACATGCTTTGTGTGTGCCAGGCAGATTTTTAGCAACTGTATGTCTAGAAAAATACAGGTACAGGACGGGGATTCAAATGCTACTTACCCAGCATAACACTGATTAAGCCACTTAGCTATTAAACCGCACTGTAACTTCTCCAGCTTCTTAAGATCTATATATAAGCCTTCTTTAAGACTGAGATATATATAAAATGGTTTTAGAAGTGTTCACTGAGGTCATTTTGGCTTTCTCATTCTGCACAAAAATTTGGCTTTTCATAGGTAAATAAAACATATTTCAAATTTTCATGTGAATCACACCTGCAAAAACACAATTTGCAAATTGCAGAAGGATGCAATTGAAGTGTAAATGAAATAAATAAAACTTGTTCTGCAACTGCTTATAGAAGCATGGAAATTAAGTGCCTTGATACATCAAGTCACAGGTAATGAACTAAGTTATAAAGTTCTGTATACAAAATGCATCACACCTGTATAAATGTTTATGCATTATCACAAATTAAAACCATATGGAGAAAATATAAATATCCTTTATGGAAAAAATATTACATTATTTTAGAAGAAATATATTACATTATATGTATCACCCTTTATAGGTTATATACTTGTTATATATTTGTTATATCTAATGTAAGAAACTCCAGCAGATAGCTGATAAATATTACCTATCTTCTGGACCATCGGATAGCTACTGCAGTAGCAGTGCAGTAAAACACTGGCTGCTGTTAATGCCTCAAGTCAGTATGAAGGATAGTGTTTGTCTCGGGTGATGTTGCTGCACCAGCAAAGCCAGCCACCATTCTATTCCACCCAGTTTCTTCTCACTATTGGTTCACCTCCTCCTCACTGGAGCTGGTACAATCACTTCTGTCTCTGCTGGAGTGAAACTGTCAGGGAGCAAAGTCCAAACTCTCACAAACCAACCAACCAACCTGGCAGCAATACAAGTTCAAGATATTCATACTCCTCCTGTCCTGCCTTTTGCTTTTCCTCCTGTGTTTCTGGTAGCTTTCTGTGGGACCAGTCAAACCATTAGTAATTGATACAGCTTAGAAAAGTTATGTGAGTTCCTTTCTTTTTTAAATCAGACTATCTATGTGATGTTGTTTGCTCTGAAGAGTTCCTACACTCCCATTTTGACAACAGAGATGAACTGAAGCCAGGGTTACAAGAAATAATGAGGCCGTCAGTTGTCTCAACTAGTACTGCCACTAAGAAGAGAACATGGGGAACCGAACCCCGTGAATAAAAATGAAATAAAAATGCATGTGTAATTGCTAAAATTAATTCATTCCAGTACCAGGCTGGCTCACTCTCAAATATGCTGGCTCCTACTGTGCATTTCCAAGTCAAAGTAACCTGCTAATTGAGATACAACAATCAGATAGGAAAAATACGGAAGATTATGTCAGATATATAAAGCCATAGGCAATCAGGAGAACTTAAATGCAATGTCTGCAACTAGTATTATCTGACAAGGACCTGTGTGGGCATTCAACATAAACTTCATCCACATAAGGACTTGACAAAAACTCCTTTAAATAAAGCACTGCAGCCACCTAGCCTTGAAAACATGCAAGTGTTCAGGAACATTCTGATCACAGACTGGAATTAAGAAAAATCCTTCCATGTATTTGTAGATACTTCAGAAGCCAGTAACAGATGGATCAGTTAAAGCCAATAAGGGTAACAAGCTGAAGTAAGTAACAGAACAACCAGAAGTCACTAAAAGGCAACAGTGATCCATCACTGAGTCTGTCTCTCTTGAGATCATCTTTACAAAGTTGTAGGACAGTAATTTTTGCTTGGCTCATAATCAATTCTTGCTAACGCTATGTTCTCTGGTTCTGCCTAACACCGATGAGATAAGGAACAAAAGGATCAATGCTCTCATTGTGTTTACTGGGAAACCAGTAATCAGGACAGAGGACTCAATTCCCTGAATCCTAATTATACATGAGTTTGCTCAAGTATCCATTTAGACTGCCGTAAAGTATGAACAAACAGCAACAAAAAGATGAGAAGAGGAAAGTGTCAGTGGCAGAAAATGTGGACAGGATCAAATATAAACCTATGTTGCTGCTGTATAAGGGCACTTCTAATTTTCCTCTGCGGTCGACTGCTGTGTCATTTCCAGACCACAAATCATGTAGCAAACCTTACGTGTTTCTTCTCAAAAATTCTCAAGTTGGGCACCCATTATGAAAAAAAGACTCTTATTTCCCTGAGATTACCTGCCCATCTGGACTCATAGTCTGATACCTGATCTTCTGAATAGTAAAGACAGCAAAGAAAGATCTTCTGAACAGTAAAGACAGCAAAGAAACCTTAGCAGTACCACACAGCGAAACAAGTGTTCTTGTCATGGGCTGTTTTGTTAAAGAGCTACTTGAGAACTGATGTATTTGTTATTTTTAAATTCCCTGGAAAAATTCAGACTCTTAGTTTATGAAAAATGCAACCCTTTTGAAACACTACCTAAACTAAATACATACACAATAATTTTTTAATGATCACACTTATAGATACTTCATATGAAAAAAAAATCCAAGCTCTTGATTACTGATATTTAACATCAGCATGGTCACACTGGTAAAATACCAAATTATCAAAAAAAAAAAAAGTTTTCCATCTCAGTTCTTCTGCTTGCTACAGTCTAAGAAAGAATCTTCAAAATAAAAATCTTGCGCTTCTGATTCTTCTTTATACATGAAAAGAACAGCCTTGTGCCATCCTCAGTGTTAAGAAGTGACAGGCAGAGCATGACATCACTCTTTGTTATTTAACTGACTGCCTTCTGCTGAATTTATTTTGCTGTCAGTAAATATTATGGCAGTGTTAATCACATTCAGGCTTTACGGAGACAGAAGCCTTGTGCTGAGTTTGATCCCAGAAGTTGGTAGTTCTTAGCTTTTGAAGGGAGAATCTTTGTTTCCAAATTTGGCACAATCTGGCTGGTCCACAGACAGATCAATAAGAACGTCTCAGAGAAATGCTAAAGTACACATCAAAGGTCTACAACCTCCAAAGGCATCCATGTGGATTCTTCCTTTGTAGCCACACCAGATAGACTCAACGCTTACAAAAGTATCAAAACCTGTACTCAAAAACACAAGTTTAGTCTGCAAATAATTGACTACAAATATTAAACTTGTCACCAGTCTGACTTCAGCACCTTTTAACAGCTTCCCTGTTCTTATTATCACGATATCACTTGTCTTTTTAGTATCATCACACATGCGATGTCCAAAATAAGATAGGGTCAGTAAGTTTATTTCCAGGGAACAAAGACATGTTTCTGTCCTCCTACAGACAGTGAGAGTCTTTAAAATAAAGAAGTGGAGAAACTGCACCTTCATGATGCCCAAAGCAAGCAGAGATCCAGCACAGACCATGCTCATACTACCTTGTCCCCACAGTCTTTCATGAATCTATCTGGTTTTCCTCATCCACCAACTTGTCTTTTGGCTTCCCTTCAAGGAAAACACTGTCGTTTATTAATCCAGTATTCAAGCATACTGTAGCTTTAATAAATATCACACCATAATTATTATTACTAAGTAGTGCTACTAGTAGAAGACCAAAATCTGAAAACACAAGTTTTGCATGCCCACAATAATAAGAACTATATAGATGCAAGGGCAGAAAATAGGTGATTTCCACCATTAAAAAAAAAAAAAAAAAAAAAAAAAAAAAAAAAAAAAAAAAAAAAAAAAAAAAAAAAAAAAAAAAAAAAAAAAAAAAAAAAAAAAAAAAAAAAAAAAAAAAAAAAAAAAAAAAAAAGTCCATTCTTCTCTCTGTCCTTCACTAACATTCCCGCTCCAAGTCACTTCATTCAGGCAACTATTACCATGCCTTAAGAGTCTGCAAAGAGCATATACATAACTTAAAGAAATTACTTGTTGACTAATTCACATAGCAGCTGGGATTAGGAAGACACTAATCTCTTTTGGTAAGAGACCCTATGAGTCCTGGTTGAAACAAGTGGTCGACCATTAGGCTCTATTGTTTCTTGCATCAGGATGAAAGCCCTTAGTGTTTCTCTTTCTGCTCACTTTTCTCTGATTCTGCATCTTTTCATGCTTTGCTTCTTGAATCTATAAACTGCTGATTCCATGTCAACAATTTTAATTCTGTCTACAGTTTTCTTATTTTGCATGGCTCAAAGCTCTCTCCGTACTTCCTCTCCAGTCTTTCTTCTGCAATTTTTGCAGAAGTAAGGTTAGTCGGTTGGGCTGAAAAAGAGGGTCTACACCCTGACGGCATTTTATAGCCTACAAACTGTGAACAGTACGGGGGAATTGTCCGGAGTAGGTCTTCTAGATGACATCTTCTTATAAAATTAATTTTCTGTTACTGACTAGACCAGTGAGATGCTTACAAGGAAACGCTACACACGTTAACGAGAGCGTAAAGCAGAACATCCCTAAATACTTCCACGTTATCATGATCCAGGTAAAAGCTTGTAAATACTCAACAAGCGGGTGCGACGCGTTACGCACACCGAGAGGCCCCGGTGCGGTTACGAGCCGAGCCGCAGCTCCGCGCTGCCCCACCGAGCGCATCTCCGCCCATTCACAAGCGGCGACAGTCACGACATGACGCCGCCGGGAGCTCCTGCGCCAGCCGGCAAACTCCTTCGCCCGCCGCCCCGGCTGAGCAGGAAACTCCGTGCCAGCCCGCGGCTTTGGGAGCGTTCCCGACGGGACCCGCCCGGCTTCCCGGGGGCTCCGGGCACACACGCCTTTAGAAAAGCCACGGCAGCACCAACGCCGCCCCGGAGCGCCGTGAAATAAAAAAAAGGCGAATCGTCTTGTCCGTGGTTTTCGTCTGTTCGCCCCTTTGCCCGGGGTATTTTCTTCCGGTGCATTAATTTCTTCCGGTGCGTTCTCCGCCGCGGGCTCCGGCGCGGGCGGCGGGGATGGGCGGGCGGGTGACCCGCGTGTTCCGGACCTTCAACGTGGAGAGCCGGGCCCGCCGCGAGATCAGCAAGGAGAAGCCCACGCCCGCGCCGCGGCACCCAACCACTCGCCTGGACGCCACGGCCGGTGCGTGCCGGCCTCGCCGGCCGGGGGGCTGGGGGGGGGTGTGTGTGCTGCCGGCGGGGGGACGGTGTCTGTGGGCCCGGCGCGGGGCCGTGGGGCGGGCGGAGGAGGGGAGAGGGGGTGCCGGGGGCGGGGGTCGTGGGGCGGCAGCTCCGCGGCCGGGCTGGTGACATTGAGAGCGGAGAGTGCGCGGGGCATGCCGGGAGCCGCGGCGGGGCTGGGGGCGGCACATGGGGCAGGACATGGGGGGCAGCTGATGGAAGCGGGTGCTGGAGGTGGTCGGTGGGGTTCATGAGGGCGGTTGCTGGGGCAGTTGCTGGGAGCGATTGATAAGGGCTGTTGCTACGGACAGTTGCTGGAGTGGTACTGCAGATCTGTGCCCAGGGTGCCAGAAGCTTCCCACAAGCGTGTGCTTCCCTCAGGGGTGTGCTTCCCACAGTGCTGTGGCAGGTGACCCGGGCGATACTGCCGTGTGGCATTGTTAAAGCCAGAGCTGCAGGGACAATGACAACCTGCCAGGAAGGCCCTTACATTTGGAGGAGCCGTGCCGTGCCTCCTGGGGAAGCAGTGAGCTGGCAGAACCAACAAAAACTCAAATCATTCTCAAATCTTTTCTCTTTTTTTTTTTTTTTTTTACCCCTTCCCTTCTTCTCCTCACTACGTTTAGATCAGCCAGAGGTAAAAGAACAAATTATAAGAAAGGACGAGAGGCTTCTCACGTTTCTAAAAGATGTTTATGTTGAGTCCAGAGATCCACCAGTACGGGTGAGTATGTCTCTGTAAGAGCCATACCAGCATCAGCTTTGGGGTTGTCAAACTCAACACGAATGTTGTGTCAAGAAAAATGCTCTGTCAGTGCCTAAAAGCTACTTTCTTTTAGTAGATAAAAGTGGTATTTTATTACTCTTCTAAACATCTGTAGCATAGCGCTGACTGTGTCTGACCCTGTGTTTTGAACATGTGATTGACTGTGATTATAAAAGTTTTTAAATGCTTACAGGGTTGTCCTTTTTAACATCGTGTTGCTGTTTAGTTTTTGATTTAAATTCTCACTTGGGCAATTGTCCAGTCTTTTGCAAAGACACGAGAATTTGCCAGAGATCGCTTGTGATGTTGCAAGAAGAGATTGGGACTGCTGTGGCAGCAGGGATGTGATAGAGCACAAAGATGTTAACATTTTAATGGAGCCTTTAACTATAACTTTAATGTTCATGTCATATAACGCAGAGGCTTTTTCTTATCTGGCTGATGAAGCACCTTAGGTTTTTTCTGCATAACTTTACGGCTCATATGGTTATCAGTTTCCTAATTGCCAGTGGCTGCAATCTTTGACTTGGGAAGGGAAAGCATATTCCTTCTCATTCAGTAAAATGCAGGCTGGGATTTAGTCTCCTGTTTTCCATTGTGTTATGTTGTGACTTGTGCATTTTACCTGTTGCATTATTGGACCACTTTATTCCAGCTACTTTTTTAAATAATAAAATTTTTATAATAATTTTTAGAATCAGCAAAATTCCTAAGTCTAATTTGCCACTTATTCAAGTCTAAAAATATTTAAAATGCAAACAGATTTGTTCAGTCTCTCCTTGAAGTTTCCATGTAATCCCTATCCTTAATTTTCGTCACAGAGGATAGTACTTTAATCTTCAAGTGCTGAAGGTCTAATTTTAGTATTTCTCAGCATTCCTTTATAAGCCTGTCAAGAGAGATTTGAGAAAAAGCCAAAAGCGGAACAAATCTTTGCTTGATTCTGTTCCTAATCTGAGGTTGCTGCCACATAAGACAGTATGTGTCTGCTTGTAGTTGTTAGGAAGAATATGATTGATGTGTAAACACAGAGACCTATAGGCAAAATTTAATCCAAAAGCTTCCTTCCATTCCAGATGCCATACTGACAACTTTGAGCATCGTGTACATTATGTGTACCTACCTCTATGTATGTTTGGGATGTCTGTCTGTGGTAGGTGGAAAAACACCAGCTCTGGAGTCATGAAGTGGCAGATGCCCAGAGACAGATCATTTAATCAAGACTTGAAAAATCATTCATTATCCGAGCACAGTTTTAGCACAAAGTAGACGGAATACATGGAGGACAGATCAGACATCCACTGTAGTTTAGAAACAGACACACAGATGTTGTAGCATCCACATCAGTTTTCTCAGCACGTGAGTTAATACAGAGTGTTTATGTGCCAGTCAGCGGCTGTGGACTCCGATTACTTTAAAAGTACTTTTTCTTAAATTTAAGAAAGACTTAATTGTGTGCTTTTTTCTTTGTGTCTGTGTCATTCACTGGTTAAATCTTAATAAGAGGCAATATGAGGAAGCCAAAACTGGTTTGGAAATTAATTGGAAATATGAAGGGACTTGGAGAAGAGACTTGGTGTGTCTTTGTGCTTCAGTAGTCATGGCAATTAAACTCTATACGATGCTGCAAAATAGTTTCTTTTTGTCCAGGAAAGCTTGTTTTCTAGACAGAGCAAAGGAAGGAATATTTTTAGTAGCAAAACCAAAATTTGAATATGGAAAGAAAGGGAGAGAGACTACATAAAAAAGTTTTCTAGTAGTATCGGAAGGATACCAATTTGTTGTATGATTTTCTTTTTTTGTCCCTTGCAGTGAATCAGTACCAAGTATTAGGTTATTTGCATTTACATTTGGCTACCAAAATCTGTAGTTTGCCTTGTATGAAGGGTTGCCAAGTCTGTACGACAGAGCGCAGTGGAAGGAATGCTTTTCAGCATTTGGTTGGGAGTTGACATGTAGGTAGTTGTATGTAGAATGGCTGTGGAAGAAATTACAAGAAGCAAGGCTAGCTAAGATTTTTTTTTTTTTGAAAATGGAGAAAGGTAACACAAAATGCCATATTTAGGAAAACAGCTTTGCTACAGTATGCGTAGTAAACAGAACTGCTGTTAAGTTGTTTTTGTTTTCCTTCCCACAATTAGGTAAAAGATGGAGGTGGAGAACGTCTTCCGTGTAAACAGGAGGAAAAGAGACTTACAAAACTAGGCCATTTGGGAGCGCTAGATGTTAAGAAAGTTTCCAAAGGCAAAATTTCCATTGTGGAGGCTCTGACACTTCTTAATGATCATAAATTTCATCCTCAAATATGGACTGCAGAGAAAATAGCAGCAGAATACAGTCTGGAACTGAAGGATGTCAACTCTCTTCTGGAATTCTTCATTCCTTTCACCGTGCAGGAATTTCCTAAAGAAACCAAAAAAGCTATAAAGTCAACATAAAAATACTTGCCAAAACATTGTGTGATCTCACTTCTTGTGTC